TTCCTCTCCGGCAGTGAAACTCCTGGCGGGTCATGGACTGGCGGCACACACAATGCTAGGGGTTATCCAGCCTGTTATCAGCCCTGGCCAGGCAGCACAGGGAGGAAAAGGGTTTCAATCCTAGCCGAGCTGTGTTTCCGTCGGGAGCTGTTCCCGCTGTCACGGGGAGGGCTGGACTGTGCCATGCTTTCAACACTGGGACCGGTGAAGCAGGGCTGTGATTGCTATGGGGAGAGAAGGGACCACAAGACTGTCACCCTGTATCCCCATGGCATTGCTGGGGTTCTTCCTCATCTCCAAGCAATGCAGTTTTGCTCCTGCCCAGCTTTGCCCTGGCCTGGGCATGCCCAACATGGAGAGCTTGGGGATGGGAAAGGGCCAAAGCTGGTGACCCCCAGGAAAAAGGGGGTGCCACTGGGACATGTGTCTGTAACACTCCTTGCTGGATGTTTCCACTCCTAACCATATGGAAGCATCCCAGATCCCTGGAACACCAAGAGGATGCCTGCCCAAAGCAGTAGTCAACCCAAGAAACCCCATTGGCAAAACCACCTCTGCCAGCCAGGAGGGGAAACTGAGGCATGAGGAGATGCTGAGAGAAGCCTCCTACTCCTTTATCCCTAGGCTGACATGGGATATTCAGGGGCGGTCCCTTAAAACCATCTGGAGAAGGGGAACGCGGCACAGGGTTACTCCTGGTTCCTCAGCCCAAACCAAAGGGTGGATGCTCACCCCAGCCGTGCTCTCCAAGCCCTCCTGCAGTGAGCAGGGGTCAGGCAGCGGCTGGGCTTGCCACGATCCCTCCCGCCCCATGATTAATTGAACACAGGCTAAAATTAGCTGCGAGGCATCACCCCTGGGGTCTCCAGCAGCATCCCACTGCCTGCAAGTGGGTCAGGCAGCAGCTGCCTCCCAGCTGGGGTGCTTGGGGGACCCCATCCTCCGCTGCGGGTGGGAGCATCGCTTCCTGCTCCGCTCTGCTGCCTGTCCTGGAGGCTTTTCCCTGTCTGGATTCACCACCGGGCTGGGCTGTATCATGGCCAGAGCAGCTGGGGAGGCACAAGTCCTTCTTCTGGGGTGGGAGGAGTGCAGATCCCTGTCATGTTCCTTCCTGTGCCTTTGGGGATCTGTTATTTTTAGCTGCTCTCCCGATGTCGCGTCTCTAGCTAGGCTCTGGCTCTCTTTCCTTCACCCTTCCAGCCCCCCTTCCCCAGTGTCAACTTGTTTTCTCTGTGTTATTTACAGATTAGGGGGGGGCAGAACCAGGCACAGGGGATCGCTTGGTCACAGCCTCCCCATGCTGCTCTCCACGCAGTGGGGTTTGGTTGGGTTTCTTCCCAGGCTGTTTTTAACACTCATCGGCTCCCTATCGGCAATGAAACACCAAGGGGTAATGCAAACCAGAGGCACCCCGCTGTACCAGAGGACCCGATGTGTCAGGCCAAGCAGGGGGATGCTCCCATGCAGGCATGGGAACACCTGGACATGGCCCCCAGCATCCCATGTCTGACCCCTCCTGATGCCTTGCACATCCAAGGCTGCAACCTCCACCACAACACATGAGACAGGGAGAGCAAGAGATGGGCTTTTCCCTTGGATTCAGAAGAAAGCAATCAGGAGCAAAGTTAATTAAAAACTTCAAAGCCAGATACTTCTAATCTGGTTTAACAGTGCAGCTCTGTGCCGTGGTGCTGCTGTCACAGAGGTGCCTGCTTAAGGCTCAGGCTGGGAAGTGCTCATAAGATGTCATGGGTTGTCACCCATCAGCAGCACTGCCACAGCCCTGTGGCCTTCATCCCTGTGGAGCACTGGGGTGCAGGGTGCTAGCTCAATGCTAAGCATCTAGGGACTGACCCTGCATGGGGCTTGATTTTGGAGCTACTGAGGCTGTGCCTCAGTTTCCCCATGGCACCTGCTCTTTGGGAAGGTATTTTCAAGGCGTTTGGTTGGGTGCTGGAGCCTGATTCCCGCCTGCTGGAATTATACTACTGCCCTATATAAAGCAGGAGTCCAGGGGAGAAGGGGGTGCCTGCCTCCATAGGGTTCAGAAAAGCAGTGGTACCCATCCTGGAGTGAGTAGGGGAACCCAGCACCGCTGGTCCTGTCCCCTCCATCCACTGCTCTGAAGGAGAAGGGGGCATCTCCCTTTCCAAATTCTCATTCTTTTCCCTGAAAGGAGCCAAAATCCTCTAATTTTCTCCAGAACCCTGTGCCACAGGACAGTGATGCTCCTGCCCCCAGCTCTCTGATGCCTTTCCCTGCATCCTGCCCCCACTTTGTGGGGGTTTTCTGGTGGGGTGTTGGTTGGTGGGGTTTTTTATTCCAGTTTCTATGCTGCGTGGTGAGTAAAGACATCCTGCTATCTGAGGGCTAACGGCTTGCTGGAGAGATAATAAAGCAAAGGGGAGTAAATTAAAGTGCCTATAAATAGCATCAGGAGAGGAAAAGGAGATGAAGTCATCTTCCTTCAGCTGAGCTGGTATTTGCATCACTTCTTCCCTTCACCTTCCCCTGCCCCCTCATCCCGCTTGGAAAACAGCCTTCCCCAGCCCTGGGGTCCTGCTGTGGGCAGTGTGTCCCCCCAGGTCCCCCCAGGGCTGTGGGATGTCCCCATGCCCCAGCACCAGGGGCTTGCTGGAGGGCACAGCAAGGTGGTCTGGATGTGGTCAGTCGGCCTCAGGCTCCATCCCGTCTTTGCCAAGGATCCATGGCATGGCCTCATTCAAACCGGTGCATGGACCAGTGCAAACCAGTGCCCCCAGTATGACCCCAATGCTGCATCCGGTTATCGCTAGGAAGAGCATTCGTGAGCCATCACAGCCCCTTCCCATGCCATTCCACTTCACAGCCTGAACATGAGCAGCTGCAGAGACCCCCCAAGAGGAGAAGGGATGCCACAAACTCAACAACAGCAAATTCCCACTAGGAAGCCCCTCCAGGAACCAGATTTCGTAATTTACATCTCTATTCCCTATTGATTTCACATCCAACCCTTCACCATCGGCCCCAGGACACATGGGAGAGGTGGGACCCCAACCCTGCAGGAGCCTCCCTGGGCTTAGCAGCCAGCTTCGGAAGTCACCCAAAGCATGACCCTCACTGCCACGGTGGCCACTGTCCCTGCAGCCCCCAAGAAGCCCCCTAAACCCCCCATCTGCCCTCTCACACAAGGTATATTTATGCCTGAGTCACGGTTTCCTCCGTGTCAGCTACCGACTCCTATTCCTGTGCCATGTGCACACACCCGCCGTGTGTGTTATTGCAGGGTATTTATAGCTATTTTACATGTATAATTATAAAGCCACAACTCCACACACGCACAGAAATAACCACGGTGCTGGGACGCAAGGGAGCGGGGCCAGGGCGATGGGAGCAGGGCCGGGGCACTGACCCCACCGCTAATAATAATTCTTTGCGCTTTATATATAGCCCCCTTTCATCCACATCTCTCAGAAACTCTTTGCAGGCATTTAATTAAGCTTCCCAACATCCTAATGTGATGACAGCCAAGTAATAATATCCCTGCTTTGAGGTATGAAGAGAAGGGAGGTGGCACGACTTGTCCAAAGTCCCACAGCGAAACAGCAGGTCCAAGTGCTCTGTCCCCTGCCCCGCACTTGTGGGGTGCCCAGTGGGGGAGATTTTGATCCAGAAAGGGGATAAGGACCACAGGATGCTGCCCAACCCCTCTGCTCTGTTTGGGGTGGTGGCAATGGATGACAGTGCAGGGTCTAGTGATGGCAGCAGTGACCCCAGGGACTGCCAGGCTGCAGCTGCCCAACATCTGGATCAGCGGGTGGAAGAGGCATATGGATCTTGACAAACTCGTGGGAGAGCAATAAATAAGATGACAGGTCTGAAAGGGCTGATTTACGAGGAATATTAAGAGTTGTAATCCTGCCTGGCCTGGCCACCCCTCAGGGAGGCAGGGTGATGACAGGGACCCAGATACATCACAGACAGACAGGCTTCACTGCGGCCAGCGTTGACATATCTCTGAGCAGGAGGGCTGGAAGTAGTTTTGCCTCCCAGGGTTCTGGGCAGCTGGTGCAGACACACAGACAGATCTCAGTGGCTGCCTAGAGATGGGATCCCGCAGGGATGATCTCTGTGGTCCTCAAGGCTTCTTGTTTGTGTTCCACTGAGCACCCTTCCCTACCCTATTCTCCATCCCTGCCTGAATGGACAACTTGCCTCCCATCCCTGGGGTGCTGCAGAGGGCACAAGGGGCATGTGCTGTGTCTTTGGACACTGATGGGACATGAGATGTCACCAAGCAAGAGGGACATGGCAGAAAAAGGTGGCCAGCAGAAGGCTGGAACTTCAACCACCAGAGCAGAATTGGTACTGGAGCAAACTGGTGTTGGTTATAAAAAGGGTAGAACTGCAGTGCAGCAGGGCAAGGCTGCATGGAATCATTAACATCTGCAACAGAACACACAACCCTGGCTCCTTTCCCATGCATGAAGAGGTGAGGAACAAGGACCCATCCCCATCCCCTCCTTTGGGGTGCCCCATGGGGAAGCAGCAGCACGTCAATGGACACAGTGTGGTTCTGTGCGCGTGAAAACCAGACACAAGTCAAAAATCCCAAACCCTGATTTGATCCTGAGCAAGCACCATCCTGCCATTTTATGGCTGTGTTGGTATGTTTTTCCTCCCAGGCTTCAGCCAGACCCCTGCTCACTGAAACAAACCACACAGCACCCGAGAGCATCCGCACCTACCGAGCCCCCAGAATGGGGCACTGGGACCTGCTTGTACCACACTGAGATCGAAGAGCAGCAATATTGATATTAAGCAAGAAGACAGCTGCAAACCTTCAGAGGGCTGCAAAGAAATGCCCCAAACCCAGTTTCTCTGAGGAGAAAGGAGGAAGGGAAATGGGCACAGCCACCACTGCAGAGATAGTAAACACCTTGCTGTCGCTGCACTGGTCACCAGGACAGATCTGTTGCCATCACCTCCCCAGAATTCACTCCCTCTGGCGCATCTCTTACCAGGGGCTGCTGTTACCTCCACTGCCTCGCTGGCCATGATGAGGGACTCAAGGATCCTTGCACGGAGCTCAGGGCCCACCTCAGTGCTGTGGGGAGAAGAAAGGGGTGGATCTGTGAGGGTGGCAGCAGCTCACCCCCAACAGAGACCCCCACACCTCTGGGACAGGAGCCAGCCACCCCCATGGATCTCCTGTGGGACTGGAGCAATGCTGCTCATCCCAGTCCCATGTGTGCCATCAGGCCTGGTCACTGGGCAAAGAAGAGATGGGATGGCTTAAGGTCCTTTCCAACCCTAACCATTCTACGGCAGAGCATCACACATCAGAGATGGGGGCTCCCAGCTCTGGCCTCCCCCTTTGGAAAACTCAGGGCTGAGCCGCTTGTGGGCTCTCACCAAGCACAACCAGCTTGGTTTGGTGCCTGGCTATGGGCACCCTTCTCCTGTCCATCCCATCCCATGCATGGAGGGGCACCTCACCTGCCTGCCGCGGGGCGAAGGAGCAGCTCCCCAAACTGCTCCCCGAGGAGCCGGGGCGAGGGGCGGCTCCGCTGCGTGCCCTGGCAGAGGTGGCAGAAGTGGCAGAGGAGCTGGCGCAGGAGCAGTGCCTGGGGCTGCGGCAGCGCCGGGGGGGCCAGCAGGGCTCTGGCTCGCTGGCCACACTCCTCCAGGCCCGGGGTCTCTGCAATGAAGGGGAAACAGAAGGAGAAAGGTCAGGTCGGGAGGCTGGGGCATCCTCTTGCCTCTCATGGGAGACTGGTGCTTACCAGCACATGTGATGTGGCAGGTCTCTGCACCCCAAAACCCTGACCTCAACCTCGCCCCTCAAAACCATTACTATGGTTTGCAGCCCATCCCTCCCCACAGACAGGCTGTGAGACACATGGGTACCAAAGGGAGTGAAGAGCCCATGCAGGTGATGCCCTGAAGGTATCAGCCACTTCTTGCTGTAGGCTGCCAGCCCCATTTACCCACTGACACCACTCCAGATCAGTGAAGGGTGACTTCGGCACATTCTCTCTCTCAGCACAACCAGGGAGGGAGCATGGGGAGCTAAGCTGCTCACCTGGCAGGGGCTGAACCTAAACACCCCTCACTGCTGCTCCAACAGAGAACAGCAAAAACCCTGCCATGGGAAAGGCAGAGCAAAGCAGAGGTGGGGAAATAGGCACCAGCAGGAAGATCTCCCAGATCTAGAGGCCCAGCCCTCCCCTGCAGTAAAAGCAAACTGGGAGGGAAAAGGGGTTTTAGGGGGAAAAAAGCTACATTTGGGTTGACAGCAGCCCCTGCATCCCTCCCAGTGTGGTCTCACATCCCGAGATGCAGCAGCAGGGAGGGCTGACTCTTGAATTGCCCATGTGAATAAAAGCAGGCACCTAATGGTGTTGCACACCACAGAGGTGCTGCCAGAACCTCTGTCCCAGCTGCCCCGAGCAGCCCTCAGCCCTGCAGTGTTCCCACCAGCATCCCCCCACATTCCCAGTGCCCTCTGACAGCCTTGGCCGGGGCTCCCCTGTCTTGTGAGCTGTGAGCTCAGTGGCCTAGGATCGCGGTCCTGCCCTGGGCATGGGAAGCAGCTGCTCTGCAGCTCCATCCTCCATCCCTGCCTTGGCCTGGCCCTTTCATCTGCGGGGGACAGGGAGGTCCCCAGGGCTGCATTGCTCTCAGCCAGCTTCAAAGCCCGGCTCGGCTGGGGCTGACTCAGCTCCTCATGGCTCTTTGCACCAGGGCTGAGGCTTGGCTGATGCCCAGCCAGCTCCCGGCATCCATCCTTGAGGCCGGGGTGCACCAGGTCTGCCGGGGATTGTGATCCCCTTCAAAGCTGGTCTGCAGCCCAGCTGGGATGGTGATGGGGCGCTCGTGTGCCTCCATATCCAACGAGCAGCTCAGCTCCTATGGGGATGTTTGGCTTTGCTTCAGGCCACCCCTACCCCGATTGGCTGCTTTTTGTACCCTGGGGATGCTGTAGGGGGAAAGTCCACATCCAAATGGGGAATGTGGGGATGTTTTCCATCTCCTTTTGCAGGTGGTCAGCCCGCAGCCTGGAGCGGGGCAGGAGGAGTCTGGCTGCAGGGCAGGCTGCCAGCCCCCAGCACCATCTCCTGACAGACTTGTGCTTCTATTTTCTCCCTAAAGCCCCACTGAAATCCCCATCGGTTTCGCCTCTGTTCTGCCCCCTCCTCCTCCCCCTGCACCCGTTCCTTGCACTCCAGCACAGGCTGCAGGGAAAGGCGCTTTCCTTTGAAGTCACTTAACGAGGCAACCCAGCTAATTGCTTCCTAATTGCGTTTTTATCCTTGGAAGGGAGGCAGCCTTTGATTTCTCCTCTTGACTGGTGAGGGGAAGGCAGCTTCTCAGTGCCATCGGCCCCGGGAGTATTTCTCCTGGCTCTGTGTTTCTGTGCAGGGCAGGGAGGACAGGGTGTGAGTTATCCCTTTTCTTTTCCATATATCCCTCCTGCCTCACTGGAGGCCATGAAGAGCCTGTGACATTTTCCCACATAGTAGGAAAAGGCCATGCCTAGCTTCTTAAGGCAGCCAAGAATATGATCTGTGCATGGGGAGGTGGTATGTGAGGATGGAGGATACTGCAGTGACCAATGATGAGAGCTGGTTTGAAGGTGGCAAGGGGTTCAGGTCCTAGCGAACATGGCGGGCAAGGGCTTTGTGTTTGCTTGGTGATGCCCACAGGGCCTTGGACAAGAAGATGCTGAGCAGCTCTGCGAGGATGCATTTGAAATGGGTTGTGGTCCAGGCTCCTTGTTAGGATGGAGCATGGACTCTGCTGGTGTGGGTACCAGCCCTGCCTGCTTTTTTGAAAATACAAGGTGAAATAAACCCAAACCCTTGTCAGTCTGGTACATTTACACAGGGGCTGGGGACCTACAGGCACTTCCTGACAGCGCTGAGCTGAAAAAGCAGGGAATTTTCTATGCCCATATAAAGCCAAGAGTTAACACGATTACAGCAAAAAATTCCCGGGAAGCAGAGCCAAACTATTATAATAACGCTTTCTTCTGGGGCCAGCATCACCCAGCCTTGGCAGCCACCCGGCCGGGCAGGCAGCACCTCCTGCTCCGGGCGCTGCACCATGCTGCACTGAGGGAGAAGCTGCCTGCAGGGCTCCCCTTTCTCCCAAAAGCTGCAGTGCTGCTCCGGCACAGGGGATGCTCCCAGTGATCTTTAGTGCAGCATCAAGCAGGGGACGGGGTGAGGAGCCATTCTGGAGGTGCGTTGGGAAAGATGCTTCACAAAGCATCTTTAGCCACACAAACATTGCAGGCACAGGGTTAGCCGGGCTGTGCTTACCTTGAGCCACGAGAATCAAGTCGCTGTAGAGAGCCGGAGGGATCAGGGGTGATGGAAGCTCCTGGAGGTACCACTTTAGGGCCTCTGCCAGTGTCTGGGCCTCATACAGGTCCATGTCCACAGCTGAGGCATCTGCAGGGAGACACAGCAGGAGCCCTTAGCCCGTGGTGCTGCTCCTCAGAGCTCTTCCATCCCTGCGAGCTTTCCTCTGGACATGGGTGCTGATTTCGCCACACATTCCAACCTTTCCCAGGAATGGCAGCCTGTGATTTCACTGCCAGCACCCCCAGCAAATATTCCTGTCCCAGTTTCCACTGGCCCAGAGTCCCATGTGAAAGCATGAGGCAGCATCTCCATTTTGTGTGAGCTATACATCCAGCTATACAAGGGGCTTTTGCCATTCCACCGTGGTCCCACTGAAGGATAGCACCCATGGAATGGACTGAGCAGCTGCCCTAAGGCAACCTCTGGCCATCAGGACCAGGCACCATGTGCCAAGGCCAGCCCTGGAGGAACTTCTTGGAAAATGCATCCATGTACCAGGGTTATGCTCCCCAGGCAATGCATGTTGCTAAAGGCCCACATTACCTCCAGCAAGGCCAAAATGCCCAACCAACAGCTATTATCCTGGCTCCGAAAGGCAGCTGCCCTGGTGAAGGAGCTTCAGGGAACAGGGACCTGGGCTTGGGACAGGGTCAGTGCTCCAAGCAGACATGTCCCAGGGTCCAGCAGGAGGCAAAGAGTGGGATGCGTCTGTCTGAGCGCCATGGCCGGGCTGGAATGAGGGCATTGCTTCACCAGGGTCCAGGGGGAAGAGCCCTTTCAGCATCCTTTGGTATTGCCTCATGCGTTTGTCTTGGAGGTCTCTCAGCGTGGTCAGGCCAGGAGGTGGCTGCCTGGAGGGTGATGGTCCCTTTTGCAGCAGAGATCTGGAGGTTTCAAAATCTGGCTTTGATTCGAACTGGAGTCATGTGCAATGTTTTGAAATTCTCCTCATAGGAGAAATCTTGGGGGGATTAGTGGGAAAATAGAAAGCCCAAGATATTTGGGATTGTTTGAAATGGCTCATTTGGAGAAACCGAATTTCTCACTTCTTCTGAGTTAGAATATTGAAAAAAGAACAGATTTTGCACTTTCTTACTGATGAGGTGTCAGGCCCCAAATGGCCAGGTGCGTTGTGATTGAGATGTTTGGCTTGCCCTGCTCTGAGGCCCCTTCCCCTCCTCTCTTTGTATCTTCACCCCCAGACTCAGCTTTACTGAAGTTGGTGCCATCCTGGGAGATGCTCCATCTTGAGCCTCCAACCATTTCAGCTGACCACATGCGGCTGTGCTCCCTTTTGGGGTGATAAACCCAAAAGAGCAGGGAAAAGCTATTTCCTAGGGTATACCTCGCTGGGCTGGGGAGCAGCTCCGCAGCTCACAGCAAAGGCTGATTTGGGGCACCTTGGCCTTGAACTCCCCTCCATAGGGCATCTCCACCATGGACCAGGAGCCTGCCTGCCTCCTCCTCTGTCTGCTCAGGGACAAGAAGCCATGGTGGGTCCCTTATGGCTAGTGCCTGCCATTTGGCTTGGAGACCAGAGAGAAAACAGATTGACCAATGCCCGAAAAGAAGCCTTTAACCCAGCCGTTGGAGACGCTACCTCATTTCCAGGAGCAAGCACCCAGCTTGCTGGGAGCTGTGCCCGAGACAGATGCCACTGTGCTGGGGCGGGCAGCTATCCAGAGTGGTCAAACATGACCCGAGGCAAAGGCGGATGCTGCCTTCCTGGCATCCCCCGCTGTCACAGCATCACTCCATGGACCAATCTGCCCCCAGGATCCTCAAGCTGGGGCAGGGCTGTGGCAGTGCTCGCCTGCTGCAGCCCAGGCCCACTCTGGTCTATGCAGATGCTCCCATCTCCCAGCCAGCCATGCTTCTGGACCTTTTTGGCTGAAAGGATTATTTCTATTGGGATTTATGGGCCAATTCCCCATTTTTGCTAGTACATGCCCTGGAAAAGTGAGCTGGCAGGTTGGCTCCGGCTGGGCAGGGGAAGGAGAGCCGGGTTGGGGATACCACAGGATGCTCCAACCCCCGTTTTGGGCTGAAACCCTACAGTGCACAGCTGAAACCCAGCGATGGTGCTGGATGGGGTTTCAGCATCTCATTGCTTGGGCAAGCAGCTGCATTGAAGAGAGCTGCTCCATCAGCAGAGTGCAAACCCCAAACCCCTTCTCACCCAGGGCAAGCCCGGCTGCTCTGCCCTGCCTGACACGGAGGTTTCTGCGGGGATCTGTCACTTGCCTTAAGGAGGCTGGCATGGATTGGGAAGAGCAGCCGCAAGCTGTTCCTGCACAGGGAAGGGGCCGCTGCTGGGCATTGGCCCCAGGCGATCAGCCCTGGGCTCCACCACGGCCTAATTAGCTCATTTGCATCATTAGGCATGGGCTTGGGGGAGTGTTCAAAGGGAAGGCTCAGCCAGTTTCAAAGCAAGACTCAAAAACATCTTTGCATCCAGAGAGAGACGTGATGGGGAGACCACGGGGAGACAGGGACTGATTGCTGATGGTACCATTTTCCTCGGCACCTTGGCTAGAAATAGCCATTAGCCCATTGCCCCCATCCTCCTGGAGTGGCACCCTCCTGCCCCAGCTTCTTCTGGGGCTGCTGTGGTGAGCTGGGCTCCCCATTAGGCTGAGAGCACAGTTGGGGTGTTCCAAGCTGCTCCCCAGCACAGGCTGTGTCCCAGCAGCTTGGGAAGGTTTGGCCAGCAGTTGGGGAAGGGTTAATCCTGGAGCCTTCCCAGCCAATTATGCTGGCCTGACCCCATGGATGCTGCTCTCCCCTTATCAGAGGGAGATGATAACCAGCTATAAGAAGTTAATGATGCTGCAGGATGAGTCAATGCTCTCCTGCTGCTCTCCAGATGTTCCGATCTCTTCCCCAAGTGAATGATGGAGGGATTCCATCTGCCTGGCACAAATAGAAGGAAGACACCCCAAAAGCCCAACCTCACCCCCCTACCAACCTCTTCAAACACACAACCTGCTTGTTCTCCTGCCAGCAGAGCAAGCAAGCAGCTGGGGACCAGTGGAGAGCATCCACATCGCATGGGGGATGAAAAGCAGGAATAAATTTGGGGCTGGGGAAAGGGTGCACACGATGACCACCAGCCCAGAAGGAAAAGCAATGGGTGCTCCCAGCCTCTTGCCACCTGGATGCCAGACCCATATCTGGAGCTAACTTAAATACTGACTTAAATACCCTTTCCAGACCTTTTAGGTTTAATTGTCAGCTGGTGCTGCAGGGGTGTCCTTGTTGTCCAGTCCTTGGGGCTATACCTTCCCATCCCCATGGATGCTACCTGCACAAGGACCTGTACCTCCCCTGGACCTGATCTGAGGCTCCTGGGCATCCCACAGTGTGGGTTTACTGGGGCGCTGTGCACCAAATCAGGGGCTATCTCCCCAGCTAGGATTCCGTATCACTGTAACATCCTTCAGCCACCCTGCTAGTACCTTGTGCTGGAGGACTGGGCACTGCCAGGACATCCACATCCCCTGCCTATGCACAGCAGCTCCTGGCAGCCCCAAACACCTTTCCAGCTGGGTTTCACCACTGACTTGCACTCAACCAGGGCAGGGGTGCTGCAATACCCTTCCAAGGGTGCCCAGTGAGGCTGCCTTCCCCTGCCTCTGCTTCCCAAAGCCAGTTCCCTTCCTCAGTTTCCCAGCAGCTACGGGAAGGGATGGCAAAATCTCACCCCCCATTCACCCCGCTGGGTTTGGCAGGGATGTGTGTCTGCTGCTGTTTATTTACCCTTCTTTCATCACCACCAAATATAAGAGATGAGCTCATGCCTCTCGCCAGGCTCTGATGACACGGGGTTTATTTCCACTGCAGGTATAAATAAAAAGCAGTGCGGCAGGCACCGGGGCGCCTTGTGTTCGGGAGTAAAGTCATTGTGGTGGGGTTAATAGCCTGGCCGGGGGAAAACAGAGCCCCTGGGGGCCTCACACCCCCTCTGGCATCCCAGGGATGGGGATACACTCCCCCGCTGGGTATCCATGCTGTGATGATGGGGGAAGCGGTGTGTGGTTGCTCTTCCCTCCATCCCAGCCCTTTCTGCCCAGCAGCAGCCCCGGTGAAGCTCCGGGGCCCACCACCACTCGCTAATCCCCACCGAGACCTGACCTAATTCCCGGGCATGTGAGCGTGTCTCCAGGCAGACTGCTCTGCGCGGGGGCCCGGATCAAAGCGCGCAGGATGGCAGCGCAGGCACGGCACGCCTGGAGACACCGGCTCCAATCCGCCTCGCGCTGCTGCCGGATTCGCCCCAGCACCCAGGGATGCAGGCAGCTCCTGACCGGCCCTGACAACAGTGGAGGCTTTTCATAGTGCTGCCTGTGCATACGGGGAAGGGTCTCAGTATTCGCGCCTGCAGCTGGACCCCAGAGTCTGGATCAGGGCATCCGTTGTCCAAAACGTGGGAGGTTTCGGTGCTCTGCCACCAAACCGAATGGGTTCAGCCCCATCTGAGCCAACAGAGCACCCAAGGAGCCATGCAGAGGGGACAGTCTGCAGGATCTCTGCGCCCTATCGCCACCAGAGAGGAGGGATGGGGATGCAGACCATCCCTACCCAGCAGTGGCAGGGCGCTGCCAGACACTACCTGCAGGACTGTGCAGCCATCCCCATGCCGAGCCTCCCCCAGCTTGGATCTCTGTGCTCCGACTTGCTCCAACCCGCACCAGCCCACCCACCAGCCCGAGAAGCTCCCAAGTTCAATGTCAGCCTTGAGAAGAAGGCTGCCTGGCACCTGTCAGGGGGAGAGGGGTACAGGCAGGACCCTGAGCAAGCATGGGGTGAATAGACATCACCCCTGGGCACCGAAGGTGCTCATAAACCTCTGTCTGCAAGCACCGTGTCATTTGCCTCATCTGCAGTGCTCCAAACAGCCCCTGAACCACACACAGGGGATAGCAGGAGTGCTGGGGGCTGGAAACCCTTGGGGTTACCGTGTGGCCCTGGCACGACGGGCACAGAGATGCCTGCAGTCACGAAGCAGCCTGGCACTGCAGGGAGCGCCGTGTGCAGCCAGGATGAGTGTTGCACTGCCGCTGCCATTTAAAGATGTGCTCTCCCCTCTTTCTGCTGCCCAAAGCCCCCTCCCTGTGGCTGCACCAGGGCTCCTGCCCTGCCTCATCCCCTGCAGTGCTTTGGTGAATCCCCCCCGGCCCCCATGGGGCTGCGGCTTTTCGCTAAGTCCCTTTCCAGAGCCGCCACGTGATGTTGGCTCCTGTGTTCAGCCGTGTCGCGTGGCCCTGCTCTCCTCTCGGGATGTGAGCGTCTGAACCGAGCGCCGAGTGTCCTAAACCAAGTCATTCCCCTCTGGAGCCAGGGTAAGCTGGCTGTGAGCCCATCCACCCTTCAGTCCCTGCTGCACCCGATGGCTCTGGTGGCATCTTGGTTCACAACCCCCTGTTATCGATGAGCTCTGTCTTTGCTTTCCTGATCTTTCACCTATAAATATCTTTTCTTGTATTATCCATTATGGAAATATCAAGTTTGGTGCACAGTCTGTGGCCACCATCCTGCAAGATGTCACTATCACTGGGATAGGGATAGGCTCAGCCCAGGCTGTAGAGCCACATGGAGCCATGCTGCATCCAAACCCACTGTGCCCAACACTGCTGCAGCCCCATGAGGATGGAAAACCTTCATCCCAAAGCCTGGGGGATGTTCAGCTTGGAGGCTGCCCCATGAGGCTTACCCCCATGGGTAGGGACTCTGGAAGGGCCAGGGATGGTGAAAGGTTTGATAAGCACAATTCAGCCCCAGGGACACAATCCCCAGGGCAACCAGGATCACTCTGACCTGCATGGCTACTTGTCCCCAGAGAAACCTGCTCCTCCCCACCAGAAGTTCAGATGCTCTTTCAGTGTAGAAAACACCCTGTTTTCACCTGCATCTTAAGGTTTAGGGGTTAGAAAAGCAACACCCAAACTCTTACAGCCCCTGCTCCTTCCTTGCACTCTCTAGCACTTTTCTTGCCACCTCTGCCAAACACCAGCATGATTTGGGTATTTGCAGGGAAGCTAAAACCCCCAGAGGGAACCTGGTTTTCCCCTCAGCCGAGACACAGTTCAGTTCCAGCCACTGCCAGCCCCGGCTCTGATTTCTCCTTGTTCCCTAAAATGGAGCTTGACTTTCGCAGGCGGGCTGGGAGAGATGGGGTGCTGCAGGAATGGATCACCAGGAATGCAGGAGGAAGAGAAACACAACCCTCACTTCTGCCATGGGGCATGCAAACTCCATTTTTTTGGCAGAGATATTTTACTTCACCAAATGTAATGCAAGGGCTTCTATGGCCCTTGGTGCTCCTGACAAATGCTCTCCGGTCCTCCCCAGACCACGAGAGACCTGGGGCAGCACCACTGGGTCTCTGATCTGCAGGAGGCTATGGGGATGCAGGCTGCCAAGCCTGTGGTCTGCCGGGGTGCTTGGCCCTATTAGGAACATCATCCCCATCCTATTTGCAGATCATCCCTCTGGGAGGGCTGAGCATCTTTAGCTGAGGTAGCAAATGTGTGACATGTCCTACCCCCTCCAGCCAGCTCTGGGGAGCTCTGGCTTTGCCCAACTCAGTGTTCCTGAGCACAAGGGGCAGCTCCCTGATAATAAAAGAGCTTATTTAAGTCCTAGAGGAGATGGGGGGCTTGGGAGCATCAGGTCTCTCTGGGCTGTTGGGGATTTACCAAGCTTTCAAATGGTTTGAAAACAATGATGGCAATTCCCTGCCCAGTGCTGTGTCCTGCAGTGGGAGATGAAAAATCTGGATGGACCCAGAGGCACCAGCCCAGGCTCTGGCAAGGCCAGTGGATTTTGCCCCTGGTCTGTGGTTCTCTCCCAGGGCTGGGCAGGAGGATTTCGGTAGTGACTGCTGTGGGGCTGCTGGGGAGCCTTATGCCTGCTTGGGATGCTACGGGATGAACAGAGGATCCGTAACTCCTGCGTGCTCAGAAAGCAAAGCATCCTCCTTGTGCTGTTGTCAGTGCCCCTGCCCAGCCTGGGCACCAGTGCCCAGGACACCCGAGACCCCAGGGATTGCTCTGCGGATGCCTTCACCTCCTCAGCCGGCAAATCTGGGCCGGGGGAAGCGGCTGTGCTCAAGGACACCCCTTCCCCTGCCTTCCCCACACCGCAGCAGGGGCTTCTGCAACGGGAGAGGAGCGGGTGTGGGGTGCACCTTGCCCCACATCACCCCCCGGGCGAGCAGCGCTGGGACCCGCAGCACCTCTCCCCCTGCATCCCTCCCTTCTCCGCAGCCCGGGCCCGGCGGGGACTCGTCTCCCGGTGCGCGGGGAAGCGATGAGGTCATGCTGCTTAATATAGCGATTTCATCACAGCCCTTCTCCCCAGCAACACGGCCCGGCTGTCGCCGGCTCCCGGCGCTGGCAGAGCCACCGGTCGGCCCCCCCCGAGCCGAGCAGAGCCGAGCCGAGCCGGGGTGCCCGGCTCCCGCGGGGCTGTGTCCCAAGGGCAGGCGGGAGGGGGGACGCGGTGGCACAACCGGACCGTGTCTGGAGCCACAGTGCCGCCCTCCGGGCACCGCGGCCCGGAGGAGGGAGATGCTGGACGCAGCCCCCCCAGCCCAGATTGGAGCGGCACACTGGATCCGTCACGTCCCCAACACCCCCGTGCCATTCCAGCCGTGAATTGCGGAGCAGCGCCGGGAAGCGGGTTTTCCCTCCTCCCCATCCTGTTCGTGCCCGTTCTCCTAAAAAATAAGCTTTTTCTTCCCTTTTTCTCACCCACAAGAGGCTTTCTCTCTGCCCTCTTTTGCAAGCAGGAACCCTACAGGTTTGCGAAACAAAACCTTTTTTCTCCCTAAACAAATAATAGAGATTCTAGTGAAGCACTCCAGCCCCACACCTGCATCCCTCTTGGCAGCATCACGCTGGCATACTGGGGGAATTGAGGGAGCTTGCATGGAGGCAGGACCTTACAGGGCTGAAAGAAGGCTGGAGGCAGTAACCCATCCCTGCTGCGCCTAGTTACATGGCTCGTCTGATAGCAGCACCCCCAAACTCTCATCCCTCCTGGGATATGGGGAATGATGTGGCTCTAGGACTTACCCGTCAGAAGAGCTTGCTTCAGCTCAGCATCCCCCAGTGAGCTGGGCCCGGGTCTGTAGAGCACCTCGCTGTCGAGACCTGAGGAGCAGCCAGGAGAGAGGGGTCAGTCCTGAGCCCCACATCCTCCCCTCCAACACAATGCAAGCGGGCAGGGACTCAGACCACACCCCTCCCTTACCCTGCCCCGGGTACCGGGTGTGGGGCGAGAGGTTTGGCTTCAGTGATGCCCTTGGGGCATCTCCGAACACGGACAGAGCGGGGGGCTGAGCGTGTGCACCCATATACGAGCCATGGAAGGACACCACGGCTGCCCATACCTTGTTTTTCCAGTGCCTCGATGAGCCTGGCCACGGTTGGCAGCGCCTGCTCCGGAAGAGTGGGGTACTCAGTGAGCTCTGCCTGCCCAGGGAGCCCTGTGATGGAAAGATGTGGAGAAGGGGCTTGGAAACTCCTGCCTGCAGGAATTCCAGCCTCTTTCCTCAGCTGCACCAGGACAAGATCAAGCTGCTGCTTTGGCAGAGCCACAACCAACGCTCGGGCTCATGTGTGTCCAATTTTGGAGAACTTCTCCCTTATTTTATCCTCTTTTTGCAGTAAGAGTCACTGCTGGGGGCTGAGCTGCTTGCTGAGATGCAGAGATCTGCTCTAACCCATGCCCTTCCCATGGGGAACATCCCACCCTGAGCATGGCCAAAACCCCTTCCCCACCCCTCCTCCTATGGCACCGAGGCTGCCCCTCTCATCACTCACAGCCCTTAGTGCCACCAGGCAGGAGCTGGGGGGCCAGATCCATACCCACCACAGGCAAGGCTCCCTGCAGCACTCGCCCGCTTGGATTCTCTGGTGTCTGCAACAGGGTTAAGCACAAGCCCAGGCAGGATCCTTATCACCCCAGCTGATAAACCCTTCCTGTGAAGGTTATACCCAATGGAGACCCTGGCAGCACAGTGCTGGATTGAACACCACCCCCCCTTACAGGTCCTGAGCCCTTCAGGAAGGCAGCAGGCAGGGAAGAGCTGGCAGGGGCTGCCATCGGCTGCAGCACATCAGAGCTGCGTGAGACTGCCGGGGTACGGACGGCATCTGGAAATGCTGATGTGCCAAGAGCCCTTTCCCTGTTTTATGTGGCAAGTGGGTCTGTTCAGCTGGAAATATATAAAACCCCTTATAGCTAATTAAATAAAGCCTGAATGTGAGTTTTTCCCCCAGCGACGCACACTCCAGAGCAGCCAACTCCCTTGTTAAATTCATTCTGTCTTTGGCTTTTGCTATGGGGCAGAAGGCAGGGAGCTCATGTGTGAAGCCAAGAAACCCATAACAATTTAAGGAATGAAAAAGGCAAAACAAAAAAGGGACTTTGGACAAAAAAAAAAAAAGAAAAAAAGAAAAGCCTTCGACTTTTTGCAAAAACACAACCTGGCTGCAATGGATCCAGGCTCTGATCTTTGCCATGGTGATGTCCTGGTGCTGCCTGGAGAGCAGGGAGGGGATGCAAACCTCTGCTCACCGGTGGCTGATGCAAGCCTAGCAAGGGGGTCCCCTCTGCTGCCCAGTGGGGATGTGTGGATGCCCTGGGTGGGAAAAGGGAAGATTTCAGGTTTAAAAGCAAAGTGTGTGGTTGGGAACCCATGGAGAATGCCCCCATTGCATGGGTGGATTTTTAATTAGGGAAAACTGGGCTTTGGCCTCCAAGCTGACAGGGAGAAGGTGCTGACAGCAAAAAACGTCTGTTTCTCCTTACTATTAACAGCAGGAATGGTCCCAAGCTCACGCTGGAGCTTTAGCCCATCCTGTCCCTGCAGAGTGCCAGGCTGGAATACAGCATCCTCATGCACCACTTTCTCCAGCCCTGGGTGAAGTGGAGGTGATGCCACCCAGGACAACCAGGCAGGGGCAAAACATCTGAACCCCTTGGAAGGCCGCTGGGACTTGGACCCACTGCAGAGACCGTTCTAGGATGTTATTTAGTGCAAATGAAGACCATTCCTCCTTGCAGAGCCAGCCCTGGCTCCAGGGCATGGCTGGGTGATGCAGGGTCTCTCTCCCATTCAGGGTTCACCCCATAGCTTCATCCTTCTCAGGGTCCCTGAGTGGCACAGGGGCTTGGTGGGCACTAAGGGCATACAAGGCAGCACATTGCCGTTGCAGAAGAATAATCGTTTGGGGTGGCCAAAGAACCATGTCCCTCAAAACCTCCATCTGGGAACGGAAAAAATATGGGAAGAATTTTCCAATACTATTAAAAAATGAAAAAATTCCCTTTTCTGTCAAGGGGATGCTGAGGTTTTTACTCCAAGGGAAACCTCACCAGGCAGGAGGTTTGGGTTTAAACAGACATAAAGTGGTGCACGCTGCTTTGCTGCTGCAGAAAGACGTGGTCATGCAGCACGAGTGTCCCCTGCTAAGGTGTCTGCACACCCTGGACAGTGGGGCCGGACACAAGGCCATGGCCAGAGCATGTCCTGCAGATGGCAGCACCCTCCTCGATCTACCCCAAACCCTGGGTCTGGTGGAGTTTTCCTATTAATAAAAAGGGGGAAAAATAAATCTCAGTTTTACACTTTTAGGGGGCTATCCTGGCCCCAGGCACATGCAGCCTGCACCTTATGCATGGGCCAGGCTGTACTTTGCTGCTGAGGATGTGCCTCAGTCTGTGGGGCACCAAACGCCCCTGGGTACATCTCACAGACCCTTGGGGAAGAGCCCATTAGCACCCTCTGCATGGGGCAGGCATGATGCAGTGGTGATGGGCAGCAGGGATGTAACAAGAAGGCGGCTTCACGCTTCTCCTTGGCAAATGGGGCTGGAGAGCCCTTGGGTCTGCTCCCGCCTGACCTGAGTTCTCCACACTGCAGCATCAAGTTTGGTAGGGTTCTGCATGCCAAACAGCCAGGGGCAGAGGGCTCCTCATGCACCACTGAGCTTAACTGGGAAGGTGGCTCCAGCCCCTTGTCTGCTAGGGGCACCCCCCAAAACGTGGCCTGCTCCCTCCTACAAAGGCAGTGCATAGCTGCTCAGTGATCCTCACCAGCGCTGCTGGGACTGTGGGTGCCTTGGTGCACTCAGAGCATCGGTCGTGGAGGAACACCCGTGTTGCAGTGAGGGGATGCAGAGAGGGGTCCCAGCATCTTCCTTGTGCTTTTGGAGGGGTCTGAACTGCCGGACCCACATGGCAGCCCCATATGTGGTGATGGATGGTGTCAGGGAAGGAGAAGAATTGACTGCTACTGCTAAACCCAGGACACTGCCCCATGCCAGCTGAGTCCTGCTGTGCTCAGCCCAGGGGCGAAGTGGTCCTCACCCTCTTAAATCACGGTGGCAAAGGGACCTTAAACCATGTTTTGTAGGGAGATGGACTCCTCATCAGTGGGTGCCCCTCTAAACCCTTGTCCAAGGTACCTCCGATGCACAGCCAGCATCAGAGGTAAGCCTCTCCAGTTACACATCTGTGCCTTGGTCCCAGTCTGGTTGAAGTGGGTGTCTGAGGCACCAGACCATGAGCTGGGCAGGTTCGGAGCAGCTGTGTCTAAAGGTGATGCTGCTCTCCCAAGCCCCAGCCGCACACGGAGCCATTCCTCCTATTCCTCCTCCATCGCATCCCAGGGAAGGAAAGCACCATGGCTTTGTGTAACTGGGAGGGGGGGTTCTTTGGGATTTTGGTTGATTTTTTGCTCAGGTACATTTTGTAACTGCTGTGAAATTCCTCCCAGCCCCAGCGCACTTGGCTGCGGTGAGCGGCGAGGGCAGAGCTGGCTGCAAGATCCCATCAGAGAAATGGCCGGAGGTCCCCATGCCAGAAGGGCCCTGCTGAATTTTCCCCACTCCCCAGCACTGCGCCACAGCCCCCAGGGACGGAGAAGGCCCTCAGGAACCAACCCCATTGCCTGCTGAGATCATCCCCTGCCCCAGCATGCACACAGTGACAGTGAGGCCAGGAGCTGGCTGGGGGCCAGCGCTTGCCCGGGCACCGAGAGCAGCCGGATTCGGGTGCCGCAGTGATGGGGAGAAGAGCAGTTGGGAAAAGAGATTCCCGAGGACCACCACTTTCTGCTCTTTGCTTGGAGGGCCAAAAGGCTCCTGCATCTTCTCCTGTGCTCTCATAGACACAGACCCCCTTGGACACAGCCAGCCCGGGATACTGGTGAGGAGCAATCCCTGCAGTGTGTTTGTCTGCAGGGGGTAGCGATACCCTGGGTACCCCCTGCCCCTTCTGCAGCTGCCTCGATGCATCAGGGCAGATAATTCCCAGGGCAGCTCCTCCTTCTGCGGCTGGATCCCCATCCCGAGGGTGGATCCCCACTGAATGCAAGCACCCACCCGAGCTCCACGCCACCCTCACCATCTTGCATTGAGCACCCACCCATAGGATCCCACCTTCCTGCTCCCCTAGCACTCACCCCAGGGTGCAGAGGTCCCAGCGGGTGGCGGGGGCAAGGGCCGTGGCCTGGCCTTGGTGTTGGAGGTGACGATGCGCGTGGGACCCAGGTACTCCACGTAGGTGCCGGGGAAGTCTCCGCGCTCTTTGGTGCGCTCATTGAGGCCGTGGAGCCAACCCTGGGGGCTGCGCTCGTCCCCGTCCTTGTAGCTTGGGCTGCTGAGCAGCCCGGCCCTGCTGACTGTCAGCACGTCCCCGGGGCTCAGCGCCAGGTCCTCCTCCCGGTCCTTCTGGTACTCGTAGAGTGCCCGGTACTGCAGCCCATCCGAGGAGGCCATGGTGATGCTGTGTGGTGTGAGTCACACTGCCTGTATCCAACCAGGCATTAAGGCCTGGGGTGCTCACACAGAGCAGGTATGGCAGTGCTGGGGCAACACGGTGCAGATGGGAGTGTTCCCTTCCCTGCACACGCAGAATAGGAATGCCAGTGTTGGAAAACCTCAGTGTTGAAGAGCGGCTCCTGACACCTCCAGCCCTGGAACGGCTGCAGAGCCAATTCAGTGCCCAGGGCTCAGCAGTGTTGGTTCAGGTGTGGGTAAGGAGCCTTTTCATCACCAGGGCAAACAGAGGGGAACAAGAGAAGCTAATTGGGGTCCAAATGTGCCATCCTCTTCTCAGCCTGGCCTCATCTGCATGGTGCTGGGACCTCCCTCTCTCTGCCAGAGAGAAAGGCAGTGTCTTAGCGACCAAATTGCTGTCTAATCCCCAACCCACCACCTTATCCCCCCATCCCAGCCTCCGGACACCGGGGAGAGCCCAGCGGCTCGCTTAGCTCCCGCTTCCCAGGGATCTCCCGCCAGCAGGGCTCGGCCGCTGCACGCAAGGAAAGTACCGGCAAGAGTCTGGAAAGTAGGGCAAGAGATCACGCCACGGGCTTTTAAAATAGACATATGGGCTGAGAAACCGCCTGCCGCACGCAGCTCCCCTCCGGCAGCTCCAGCCTGGCACTGCTGCACGGAGCCGGCGGATGGAGACGTAGGATTTTGGGGTGGGTTTGGGTTTTTTCCTTCCTCTTTTCTGGTGCATTTATAGATATTCCACCATGAGATACATCTTCCCCGGAGGGGGGGGGAATGCTGTGCTGCTGCCAACCCGCTGTCCTCCCGCTCCCCGCAGGACCCCGGGGAAGAGGGATGGATGGCGGGATGCTGCTGAGCACCGGCAGCGGGGCCGTCCGTGTGTCCATCCATCCCTCCATCCACCCGCCTCCCAGAGCCTTCCCGCTGCCCCCTCCAGCCTTACCGTGCGCGGCGGCTCCCGCGGCGGGAGCGGAGAACGGGAGCGGAGCGGAGCGGAGCCCCGGCCCCGCCGAGCCGCTCTCCGGCGGTGATGTCAGCGTCCCTCCTCCCCGGTAGCCCCGCAGCGCGGCGGGGGGGGGGGAGCCCGGCTACCGGGGAGGGGGGGAATGGAAGGAGGAGGTGGATGATTTCATCCCCAGATGCAGCATCTGCTCCCAAATTACCTCCTCTGTGGTTGGAGAACCACAGCTGGGGGGGGGCTCCATCCGTCCTTAGGGATGCTAAATGGGACCAGCACACCATAAACCTCCCCCCCCTCCACAGCAGGCAGCTCTCCCTGCTCACCCACAGAGGACCTCATCCCTTAGCCAGGCTAGAAAACACACACAGGACAAGGCAGGAGCTGTCATGGAGAATCCCAGCCCAGGAATTCCTCACTCTCATCTTGAACATTTAAATGGTCCTCAGACCCAGGGTACGGACTGGGTACCACATAAAGCAGCACAAGGTGATGCTGCAGGAGCTCCCACATCCTTAAACGTTAACAAAGCAACAGCTAAAATTTAGTGGGGCAGAGAACTTGGAGGGGGCTGGCAGGGTTGATGTGGAAGGGGCCAAGCTCAGCCACAGCAGGGACACACACAAAGCCAGCCTGTGACAACAGCAGCATGGTCACATGCAACAAGGGCATCAGTTCTCAGCTCACTTCCAGCCTGGGGACACCCATGCTGGGAACGTCTCTGCCCTGATGTGGTTTGTGTCCCAGTGAGTCGCAGCAGAGCCAGTTACAATGGGGCATGGACAAGATGTCCCAATATCTGATTGCTTGTGAGGCACAAAGAGGTTGATGGGATGTCCCCAGAGGTGTTTTGGGGTTTCTTTTAATCCTTGCTCCTCACACTGACTTCTCCAAACTGGCAGCTGCTCCTTGTCTTTGCTGTGGGTCAGGCATCCTATAAATAGATGGTACCTGAAACATGGGCTTTGGGAAATGCACACTGGCCCAAGGTTCAAGGGAAAACCCAAGGTGCTGAGTAAGGCTGAGGAAGCTGAGGCCCAGAGGCCAGCAGAGCAACACAGGAGCGGTACAAGCCCTTCCACCCCATAATTTCAGCAAATCCCTCTCTCCTTTTCCTGCAACACATGAACTGGCCATGCAGGGCAGCAGCATCCTGGAGGATCTCACCCCAGGTGCATATTGCTGGGCCCCTGCTGCCAGCTTTTGGGGACTAAAAGGGCCTTTTCTCTCCCTTGTCCCTTAACCCACTGGCACTGTCAGAGTTGGCTGCAAACAGTCAAACACTGCCCTTCTCCGACTCTGCTTCCCTGCCTGGGGCTGTCTCCATCGTGTCCCTGTGCCCCAGAAGAGGATTAGAGCTCAGGAAGGTGATGGGTGCATCACCACCTGATATTACCACCCATTTTATGGTCAATCCCAAAACCAGGCCAGGAATTAACACAGTCCCAGGGCTCTGGGGCAGGGATACACCACAGCATGACATCCATCATCTCCCTTCCCAGGCTGCTGAATGAGATTTCTCCTTCCTAGCAGCAGCAATCTTCCCCTCCTAATGTACTTTAGGGTCCCCAAAGCCAAAGGCACCATCTCTTGCTGGACCCAAGTCCCATTGCCCCCTCATTCACCCCAGATGGGGCTGAGCATCACCCCAGCATGGCCAGCTCCTCCCCCAGGGCCCCTTCTTGGTGCTGGCCTCTAACCATCCCCAGAGCACCCCTTAATCCCCACTCCAGGCTCACTGCAGCAGCATCATTCCCCAAACTCCCCCACCCTGAGCTGCCCTCATCCCATTTCACCTCTACACTGCTAATTTAACCCCCACCTCACTCCAGCCCAGAGGTAGTACATCACTCAGGATGAGCAGAGAACCCTCAGGAAGCACCCTATGAAGGAGTAAAAAGTGCTTCAGCCCTTCACTGCTATTTATTGAGCACGCAGAGGAGCTGCCTGTCAGGCCCTGATTAGCTACAGATCCTTCCTCGTTTGCTTAATGAGCAGCACTCATCGCAGTGAGAGCTTTGCCTTTGACTTGCCTGGTCTCTGCTTTTCTGAGGTGTGCAGGAGGAGGCATCTTGCATCCCACATTCCCCTTCAAGCTTCCCTTTGCTCATTGTCCATCCAGCCCAGGATGGGGCTATGTGAGGAGAACGACATGTCTCCTTGCTGGGGTCCCCGTGCTCTGCTGCCATTCTCTCCTGGATGGAGGGACAGCCCTTGGTGGGAGCATTTCCAGGGGCTGCCCAGTGCCATCACAGCTGGCCCCAAGATGTGTTGGTCGCACTTACCCTGTGCTTCCCGGGATGTTAGCCACATGGCTGTGAATAAACGGAGCATAAATAGAGTTGTTAATGTGCCGGGCTGGAGTAAGTGAGGTTGTGAAGCCCTTCCCAGCTGGAGAAATCACAGAAACAATGTCTGATTTCAGCTGACATTTCACAGTCGGCTTTTTTGGTTTCATCTCCGCTTCCTCCCTCCGGAGAGGGCCACGCTTTGCTTTCTCTTCTCTTTAGAAGCAGCAAAACTCCCTCCCTCTTGGTTTACTCTCAGGGTGCCCAGGAGTGAGCTCTGGCCTCTGTGGGTTTTGTTTGAGGAAGTGCCAAGTGCTTCTTCAAACAACCTCCCATCGCGGTGCCCACAGCATCCAGGAGCTGCTGGCTCCTACATCCCTGCTCTGCCACCACTGCCACAGTGCCTGCCTGGGCTGGGGTACCCCCACCTGGGGATGCTGGAAACAAAACCAAGGAACATAAGGAAAAGCTTGGGGCTCTGCCTGGGGCTGGCACTGGGGCTCTTCCCCTCTCTGCAGGGTTGAAGCTTCACAGTGGGGAAGATGCCAGGAGTGGGTGCTGGCGGACAGACTGCGGTGCCAGGCAGGGCAATCTGTATGGCACTGGGTACCGATGGCCCCTCAATGCCACCTCCCTAGGCAGCAGATGTCAGCACACCCTAGCACTGCACCCTGACCAGAGCCAGGTCCCACACCTCAATCCATGATGGGAGAAGGTCCTATCAACTGGGTGAGGCAATGAAGAAGGCTTTGCAGCCCTGCTCTCACTTGCAGCAGCCCCCAGAGCATCAGTGCTCGGCATGAGGTTGTCCTGGTGTGACCCCGCAACGCAGCCCTCTGCATTCCCCAACTCATCCCACTTGGCTTTACAGCAGCTGGTGCCTCGACATGGACCTTGCTAATGAATTTGGGAGGGATTTTCTGGCCTGAACACATATGAGAAACAAGGAAATGTTATCTTGGAGGGGTGTGGGCAGGCAGCCAGTGGAAGGGCAGGCACCGGGGGACCCTCTGTGGGGGGTACATACACAGGAAGAGGCTCAGCTCCATACACAGGCAGGGAGATGTCATTGAGCCCCTCTTTAATTGCATTATTAGCACACAGCTAGAAACAGCACCGTGGTTAAAATCAGCTACATAAGGCACAGGGCTGGATCCTTGCCCTGAGGGACTCACTGTGGGATGCACCGCTGGGACATACTTGCAGCTCCCACTTATCACCCCTGTATTTCCACCCCCTGGCACAGATCATGGCACTAAATGGGTCAGATCCTGTGTTTTGGACTCAGGCTGTAGTTTTGCACACAGCCATGGGGTTGGGGTGGATTCCCCCAATGTGGGAGCTGCAGCACAATGAAATCAGTGTGGTCCCACTGCCCGGTCCTTCCCGGGGAAGAGACATGAGGCAGGGAGCAGAGCTGGCAGCTTTTCCATGAAGAAAAACCTAGGGAGGGGTGCTTGGTGCAGATCCTGACACCAGACATGTGCCCAGCATGGGTCAGCAGCTGGGGTGGGGACAGAGGACTTTGGGGTGACCGATTACAGCCCACTTCCCTGCCCTCAGCCTTCCAGAGCCAGGCCTGCTGAGGAGGAGCTGTGCTACCCATGTCCCGGTGAGAAGCATCCCTGTGCTCCAGGGAAGGGGATGCTCAGGGTCCAGCCAAGCTGCGTGCAGGGATGGGAGCAGTGGGGAGGTGGCAGGGTCCAGCTGGGCAGGAGGGACATGGGAATGTCACCAGGCTCGTCCCGCTGTGGTCAGGCCAAGCCTTCCTGAAGAGCCAGAAAATCCAGCCCTGGCTCCCTAATGGGGCTCAGATGGGTGCTGTTGGGGAGCGGCCAAACCCCAGGCTGCGGTGCTGAGTGCTGGAGAGGTGAATGGAGCAGCCCATAGCTGGTCCTTTGAGTTTCCTTGTATCTGGGAATGATTGGGAATGAAAGCTACTACTTATGTATTTGCCTCAAAATCTTTTTGAGGAGGGGGGATTGTGTGCTGGCTGGGATGAGGCGATTTCTGGGAGAGGGTCAATATGATGGGGGTCTTGTTTTGCATAGAAGGGTAACAACCCCTTTTGGGAGAGGGATAAAGGCTGAGCCCCTCACTCTGAGCAGCTTCATGGCAGCAGTGGATGGGCAACTACTGCAGGGAAGGGTTGAGGGGGAAAGGGTTAAAACCCCTGGCTTCAGCACAAGTTGCACCAACATCCAGGGTGCCTGGGAGGGTTGAAGGCTTCCCCAGATACCACTGGGCTTTGGCTTGAGCCCAATGGGGCTGACTTCATCCTGCTGAAATGTATCATTATGGCCAGGCAGGGAATTCACTGTGGGGTTTCGGGGGAGCTGGGTGCAGGGTGGAGTGTGCTGAGCAATCAGACCCAGCATTTGCTGGCTGCTGCTGCAGGATGAGGGCTCCCCACCCTCCTGCATCACTCCTCGGTTTGACGACAAGCTGAAGGGACACACTGTGGGTGCTGGGGAGGGGTCCGACAAGAGCTCCTGCCCCAAAGACACATTGCATGAGTAAGAACCACCTCCATGGTCAGTCCTGGGGATGCAGCATCCCTGCCTGACTCTCTGTTGTAGCCCTGTTTAAGCAGCCCTGTTTCAAAGCGTCTTTCCAAAGAGGATCACTTTTGGCAGCCCTTAGGCAATGGCAGGTCTCTGCTGACCTGCTCCAGTGCTGGCATCTGTTACGGCTGTCACTGTCCTCTCCTGCTGTCACCCTGCTGTGTCCCCGCCAGCAAAAATCTGCCTCCCTGCTCAACGGTTAGTGATGGCCCATACAACTTTGGGTTTTCCTTTGCAAACTGGATCTGTGCCCTCCTCTGCCTGCTCCTGGTTTTGCCCAGGGAGCTGGAGATTGAAGTTTTGGAGGTCCCTGCCCGAGTGGTCCCAAGCAGTGGGGCCAGCAGCGTACACACAGCATCAGCCTGGAAAGCTGAGGGGACACAGTCA